CCTGCTTTTCTGAACCTTGTATTGTTTTATTTTGTTTTTTTTTCAATACAGGGTTTCTCTGTGTAGCCTTAGCTGTCCTGGAACTCACTCTGTAGACAAGGCTGGCCTTGAACTCACAGAGACCCGCCAGCCTCTGCCTCCTGAGTGCTGGGATCAAAGGTGTGCACCACTGCGCCCAGCTCCCCCTTGTAACCCTGAGGGCCTTCCTCTGCTCAGTCAGATGTCAGAATCCTTCCCCTGATGCAGTATGTGCTGGGTGTGCGATTTCTTGCATGTTTATTTAACGTTGAGGAAGAGAGCACCAATGGTCATGAGAGGCTCTTAAGTCTCTATTGAAATGGGCTGCCAGGTAGAAATTAAAAATGATGGAGCACCAAACTGACATGGAGGGATGGCTGAGATCTATGTGGTAGAGGAAAGACCATCAAGTGTGTGAAGAGTCACATGGTGTGAGCTTCATAAGCATACATGTTTCATATACACATATATGAAACATATATAGAGATATATATAACACATATATAATATCCACCTGGGAAGAGGTGAGACCACAAATATGAACTGCAAGGGTGTAATGAGCATGTAGTATTGGTTATTTGTATACTCCTGGCACCAACAGTTCACTTCTGTATATTTTTTATAGCATAAATATAACATATATAGTATAAATATATAAATATATAATAAATATACGATAGATATAACAAAAATGTCAACATTTATTTCTGGGTAATAGTATTTATTTACAGTTTTCAATGTTGTTTGAAGGTTTCATAGTAAGCATCATTTTTATAATAGACAGAAGATTTTATTTAGCTTAGAAACAAAGACTGTTCTTTTTTTATTTAGTAAGACTACTAGAATCTATTGATTTTCTTTCTCTTTTTTCTTTTTCTTAAGAAACATAAAAGAAATGCCCATTCCTTTTCAAATCTTGAGTTATTTTACATTCCAAAAATACTGTTGTGAGATCCTTGTGGTCAATGAGTTCTATGGGCTGAATTTTACTTGTGGTAAGTATTCCATATCACAGTACTCTTTTTATACTTTCCCGGGGAAATGTATTTTTGGAAGAAATGCAATAAGTGTGTGTGTGTGTGTGTGTGTGTGTGTGTGCCACAAGACAGACAACCTTGGATTTTTTGGGTTTGGTTCCTTCAGAGCTACCCTCTTTGTTGTTTGAAAGAGCCTCTCGCTGGGACCTGGGCTGTCTGACCAGGCTGGGCTGGCCAGCAAGCCTCAAGATGCATGCCTTCTTGTGTGTCCTCATGCTCGCACTTTATGTGGGAAAGTCAAATTCACATCATCTTGCTTCTCTAGATGTCACTTTACTAAGATAACTCTCAAAACTCCTGGAAATATTGAATTTTCATAATAAATTATTTTAAGCCTTGATCTGAAATAACCCCACCATCTTCTATGATTTAAAACAAAATTTAAGCCAGGGGAAGTGGCCCATGAGACAGGTGGATCTCTGTCAGTTCGAGGCTAGCCTGGTCTACAAAGCAAGTTCTGGACAGCCAGGGTTACACAGAGAAACCCTGTCTCCAAAACAAACAAACAACAAACAAAATTGAAAGATTTATTTATTTTGTGAGTGTTTTGCTTACGTGTACGTATGCATGCACGCTGTGTGAACACCCAGTTGCTGGTGGAGGCCAGAAGACGTGTCAGATCCCATAGAAATGGAGTTAAAAACAGCTGTAAGCAGCAAGTGGGTCCTGGGACCAAACCCATGTCCTCCACAAGTAGAAGTGCTCTTACTCTGAGCCATCTCTCCAGCCCCAGCCCATTATCTCTGATTTTCAAAGGAAAATGTTCAGTGGTCAAGTAAGTGTCCTGTGGTCAACAGCTTAAGGGCACTGTGATGTTCTTAGAAAATGGCAGGTCTATGCAATGGCCAGCGTATTCTAGACAGGCCCAGTTCCTATCTACCAAACACACCAAAGCAAGCTAATGTGGCCTCTTGTTCCCCCAAATGTGTATAGAATACAGTTGAGAAAACCCATTTTTTATGACAAAAGTCAACCTCCAGTGCCATGACGGGGCAGTGGGAACAACAGGTGCCTGCGGCCACTGGAGAGTTCAGTGGTTAAGTATGTTCAGATGGCAACGTCAGTAATTTTAGGATATATGATGGCAGGCCAAGATCAGAAATAGGGTAATGGATCTAGTCTCAAGACATAAGTAAATACTTTTTCCATCTTCAAATAAAGCCAGGATCTCCCAGACTGATTCTTGATTCATCTTACTGTTAATTCTGGATCCTCTAAAACATTGTGTGTCTTTCATGAGGAAGGCTACTTAGAGTGCTGAATGAACACTTTCTGAACTTCAGAGAAATATTTGTGAGTAAATAACCCAAGTTCATCAGAGCTGACTCTCAATCTTTTCTTTGGCAGGTGGCTCTAATTCCTCTGTGGTAATTAACCCAATGTGTTCCATCACCCAAGGAATCCAGTTCATTGAGAAAACCTGCCCAGGCGCCACATCCAGATTCACAGCAAACTTTCTGATCTTATATGCATTCATCCCAATTCTTGTCATCCTAGGGATAGTGGTCTTTAAGATCCGGGACTACTTTATTAGCAGATAGTTAGATGTCAGCCGGGAAAGGGTTTAAGGGGCAGGTGTGCCCACCGTGGACAATTGAGAAGTGCCATCTTCTAACACCACCATTCCATTTGAGGCCCTCACCTCTCCCCAGGCTTCCTAGTGCAATGAAGCTGTTCGCAGTCCTTTGCTATTCCAGCTTGTGGGGAGATGTGGTCCTTGGAAACTGACTGACCTGGTCCAAGGATGTAAATAATAATAATAATAATAATAATAATAATAATAATAATAATAATAATTCATAAACCCGTGGGACATTAGTTTGACTACGTGTTTTTTTCTAGACAGAAAAATAAGCCCTTTTAAAATTTATGTTTATCTTTGATAAAGAATTTTATAAAACAAAAGTGCATATGATTATTGACTGAGTAATACAGGAAAGGTTCTGGGTCTGACTGAGAAAGCCGCCGACAGAAGGGTTAAGGAGTTTCTGCTGCCATTTAAAACCCATACACACATATGCTTGTCCATCCGGCAGCTGCTGGACCAAGCAATGCAACTTCAAGAATACGCTAAACACTGAATGCCACATATCGAGACAAACTTCTGAGGGAAGATTGCTGTTTTTTACATTTAGCATAGTTTACCTTTTAAAATGAATTGTTACCAGACAGTATGTGACTGAGAAATGAGCTACAAAAGTCTGGAGAAGAGCTTCCCAAAGAAGAATGCACACCAGAGACTCATGTTCTTGAGCTGCAGAGAAGAAGGAAGGTGATAAACTCAAACGTGCACCCACAGTACATCATATTTCCAGGGATAAAATGATGGGTGTGGGCTATTAAAAATGAATTTTCTGCTAAATGACTGATTATCTTTCTCATTGATCTGCAAGCAATTCATGAACAAGTCTGAAATTTAATTCTCTCAGTGTTACCATAGTAACAGTGAGGCTCTCGGAGAACAAGCTCATGAACTTGTTCTGTTACTGTGACCTAGCTTGTAGAGGATGATAAATTATAGCCCCGACACGTCTCCCATTACAGTATGAAGGAAGCCACAGTGAAAGTCTGTCGCTTAGAACTGTGTTCAAGGATCTGAGGCACTGGCACATTACCAGTATAGTACTGTCAATTTTTATAAAAGGTCTGTGACACTGATGATTACGGTATAATAGTTACACAATGCCTTACAGATTATGTATGTCACATCAGTTCTAGGCAGCCCTAAAGATGATAATCTACTCAAGTAGTTCAAAGAGAGTCCCACAGGAGCCTTTTTTGAAGTCACTGGTTTCAACTTACTGAAGACACAGGTACGTAGAAGCAGCTTCTGTTATTCATATGCAGATGAATTTCATTCTAGCTCAGAAACATTTGGAAAATTGACATGTGTGTGACTTCAAGCTATTAAATGTTAGTGATAGCACTGTAGAAACACATAGTTTTTGACACCTGACAGCTTGTGTCTCAAGCCACAAAATGGACAGTGATGTAAGAGAGTCAACATATAGAATGAACGTTCCTATTACTGTTGTGGCCTGGGTTGTTTGTGCCATTGGGGTGCTGGCCACAGGGGGGCTCAGAACCATATGCAGGACAAAGAGCTGACAGACTGCTGTTTCATCAAAATGAGCTGATGGCAGTTACCCAGCCCATGTGCCCCTCATCAGTCTTCATGCTCTTAGTTAATGTGCTTGTTGGAAGCTGTGCCCGCAGCATGTGAAAGGTCGTGCAGCTTACAAGAACACACACCTTTCCTGACTAATGATAATGGCTATCCTTACCCAGAAATGGCTTCTTACATGCGATACCTGCCTAGAAGTTGTCCTGGATATTACCCTCATCTCATGAAGTTTTGGCCAGCTTAGTGGTAGGCTATTCCCTAAGACGAACCTGTTCTTTAAAAGGTGGTATTTAAAATAAATATGACAGTCTGTCTGGGAGATGAAGGGAGAGGTGAAGATGGATGTTGCTGCTTTAAAGTGGTCCATTCTAGACAGTTGGGAATTTCTAGTTGCGAGGACCACGAAGATGCATTTTACATGAGTAGCTGCAGGTGCCTCTCTGTTGAAGGTAAGATCATGACGACAGTCAGCTTCTTCCTGAAACCCTACCAGCTGCATCTGAGTACACCTCCAAGAAGGTCCAACGTGGGCCCCTAGCTTTATATGGAAAGTGCTACCAGGGCCCACAATAAGGCTCAGTGGTTAAAGGCATCTGCCAACAAGCCTGCTGCCCGAGGTTGATACCAGAATCCAATGGTGAAAGGAGGAGCCTAGAAAGTTTCCCTTTGACCTCCACACACAGACAGACAGACAGACACACACACAAAACAGATAAATAAGTATATAAATGCAGAAAATTGGTACCAAACACCCTTGATTCATATTTCTAAAGAATAAGACACACATACCAAACAAACTTATACTACTTAGATGTTACAAGTAGGTGATAGAAAATTATTTTATTTTCAAAAGAATTACATATAGCGAATATTTTCTTTCTAAAAGACTACAGAACATTCAGAAACTTGTACCAGAACAAGAAATAGATTTCCCCTGACAGATTATACACCTCAGCTTTCTTCACATGTTGCCACAGAAGGTAAGAGAATAATCTTACTTGAACTTGGTAAGGAAGATATAAATCCACAATAGTGATTCAGGGTCAAGAGTCCAGCTCAATTTGTTTCCAAGTCTTGGAAGAACTTCTCTTGTACTGCTCTAGTTCCTGAAACAAAGATCTGCATTACTTTCAGAAAAAAAATAATAATTTCAAGTAGTACTTGTTAGCTATACAGTGCAGCTTTTTGGCTGCCATTCTCAAGGCTTCCTGATAATCACTCTGTGATTGTACTAAAGAGTCGTTCTCTAGAAGACAGCCCCCGAGATCCTGGGCAGACTGAGCAGCACTCAGAGATGAATTCAGTAAAGTTTCAGACAAAATGATTTACTGTACAGACTATGCTATTCACTTTCAATTAGCAGAACAAGGCAGTTATACTTCAAGGATTTAAAAGTAACTAGATTTGAAAGTGATGTTAATCTCTTTCCGAAAGTTAATTTGAAGTTAGCAAATCATCAATATTTGAGATTAGCTGTCCTTCAGAACAGTATTTCTGCTTTTAGAAATGTTGTTATACTCAGGCTGGAGTGACAGCTCCGTGGCTAAGAGCACAGGCGGCCCTTCTTGAGGATCTGGGTTCCCAGACATCACATGTGTCTCACAATCGTTTATAACTGCAGTTCCAGGGGACCCAGTGCCCTCTTCTGGTCTGTGTACTATACATGTGTACTATACATGCATGCATACACACAGACACACATAAAATAAAGTAATAATAAAAAATTAAAAAAGAAATTTGTCATACTAAGCTAGTGGTGGTGCATGTCTGCAAGGCCAGCAATGGAGAGGCAGAAACTGGAGGATCTTAAGTTTGAGGTCAGCTTCGGTTTCACAGTAAGAGCCCAGGACTCAGTGTAGAGCGCGTGCCTAGCAATGGGCTTCATCCCCATCACTGAAAAGGTGAAATCACAGTGTGAGGAATGGTGATAAATGCCTTTAATGCCAGCACCTGGGAAGCAAAGGCAGCAGAGGTCAGCCTTGTCTATATAATGAATCCCAGGGCTACACAGTGAGACCCTGACTTAAAACAAAGAAACAAACAAACAAAACAAGCCCCAAACAAAAAACTCTTTATAAAATAAACTCTTTATAAAATAAAAGTTGTATGTGTCTGGTTGTTTTTATTTTTATAAAATAAAAATGTTTTTTGTTTGTTTTTCCATGACAGGGTCTCACTATGTAGCCTTGGCTGTCCTGCACTTGCTCTGTAGACCAGGCTGGCCTTGAACTTAAGAGATCTGCCTGCCTCTGCCTCCCTAGGGCTGGGATTAAAGGTGTGTGCCACCACTGGCCTTTTTTTTTTTTTTCTTTCGAAATGATTTATTAAATCTGCAAATTTTCTTTGTCACTTAGAAATGTGTTTTGGAGAGGTGTACATATTATCACATGCAGATAATTATACAAAGTGCTTTGTAACTTTAAAAAATTATTTTATTAATTACACTTTATTTACTTTGTATCCCAGCTGTAGCCCCCTCCCTCATCCCATTCCAATCCCACCCTCCCTCTCTTGTCTTCTCCCATGCCCCTCTATAAGTCCACTGATAGGAGAGGTCCTCCCCCCCTTCCATCTGACCTTAGCCTATCAGGTCTCATCAGGACTGGCTACATCGTCTTTCTCTGTGGCCTGGTAATGCTGCTCCCCCCTCAGGGGGAGGTGGTCAAAGAGCCAGCCACTGAGTTCATGTCAGAGACAGTCCCTGTTCTCATTACTGGAGAACTCTCTTGGAAACTGAGCTGTCATGGGCTACATCTGTGTAGGGGTAATAGGTTATCTCCATGCATGGTCCTTGGTTGGAGTACCAGTCTCAGAAAAGACCCCTGGGCCCAGACTTCTTGTTTTGTTGCTCTTCTTGTGGAGCTCCTGTCCCCTCCAGGTCTTTCTATCTCTCCCTTCTTTCATAAGATTCTCTGCACTCTCCCTGGCTATGAGTCTCAGCATCTGCTTTGATACTCTATTGGGTAGAGTCTTTCAGAGGCCCTCTGTGGTAGGCTCCTGTCCTGTTCCCTGTTCCCTCCGATATCCATCTGCTTGTCTTTCTGAGTGAGGATTGAGCATCTTATCCAGGGTCTTCCTTCTTGCTTAGCTTCCTTAGATGTACAGGTTTTAGTATGTTTATCCTATATTATATGTCTAATATCCACTTATAAGTGAGTATATACTGTGTGTGTCTTTCTGTTTCTGGGATACCTCACTCAGAATGATCTTTTCTAGTTCCTACCATTTGCCTGCAAATTTCATGATTTCCTTGTTTTTAATTGCTGAGTAGTATTCCACTGGGTAAAAACCATAGAAACTAACAGGCATAGGCTTTGGAAATGGCTCAGCGGGTAAGAGAATGTGTACTGAGAACTTAAGACCTGAGTTCAAATCCCCAGCACATTGTCAAAAAATAAAAAAGAAGCATAGAGAACAACAGTGAAGAACATACAGGGTGTGAACAGATGCTCTTGCAATGTCTACACAGCTGGAAACTTAGCTGTCTGCAGAAAGGACTGATTCATAATCAGAGTTCATCTACACTCAGCCTCAAGGCAGCCTAGCTCAACCAAAGGTAGACATATGTTCCCCCTAAGAAAAGCAAAGTGGGAAAAAGACAGGAGACTCTTTCCTTTCTAGACTTCTAAATCTTTAACATAAGCCAATTTTGTAGCAGAGGTAGATACCATGAATGGACAGTAGCGTTCAAAAGGGGACAACTAAGGGATCAGCTCCAGGAAGCCTCGATGACGGTCATTGTCTAAACAACTGTACAAAGTGTATCACTATTCTAGATAAACAAAAGTGGTTGCTCTGCAAGATAAAGGGAGCACTGCCCAATGGCTGAGGTTACTAACGTTCAGAGTCACTATAAGCAAAAGTCACTGCTGTGTTCACAGGAAGTGTAGATTATCTTTTACAGTTAGACTTTAAGTTATTAAAACTGAACTGTTGTAGCGTTTTGAAGCTGCATGTATACTTCAGAAAGCTTTTATGATAATAACTCCAAAGCAGTCTTCGGCTTGGTTTATGTGTGAATGACACCAATCCAGGTTGCCAGTTATTTTCCATTTACACTGTTAAAGATTGTTAACTCATAAAAAAAAAAAAACAAAAAACAAAAAACAGGTATTGTGGCACTCACCTTTAATCCCAGCCCTCAGGAGGAAGAGGGGATCTCTAGGAGAGTGAGGATAGCCTGGTCTACATAGTAAGATCCAGGCCAGCCACGACTTTACAGCTAGACCTTTTCTCAAAACAACAAAGTGTCACAAAAGTAAAGTGATACTGCTAGCTTTGTCTTTAAGTGAAAATGGTCGATTGTCTTTAACTAAGATCAAGGCAAGGACCTTGCTTTGCAGTTCTTTGCTGGCTGTGGTATATATTTTGCATTTAACATACAGAGAAAAGACTGGTTACCTGGATATGCCAAAAGAGAGAAAAGGAGTAATTAGTTGATTCAGGACCCCAAAAAAACCCACAAGATTTTCAATATTGCTCTCAAATGAAGTTAGCACAATTGGTGTTTCAAAACTCAGCAAAATTTCCTTTACGCCGATCGCAAGGCTGCTTACAGAACCATGAAAAAGCAAACCTAAGAAGCGCCCACCCTGCCACCCTACCCACTCTGATTCTCTTAAGAACCCCTGAAGGCTCTGAAGACACGGTATCTATGGTTTTATGATAGTCTGCCTTTATATAATATGACATAATAATATTATAATGGCTGCTAGGCCATCTTCCGCAAAGGGTGGTAGCATCAGTTTTCTCTAACCATGTGAACCAGTATGTAAGTGTGTTTAATTAAATTACAGCCCTAGGAGCAAGCAGATTGTTTTAAACTTGGGATTCAAACAAGATAACTATGGCTAAGGAAGAAGACCTTAAAAGTAAAAGCAATTATTTACCTAAACCTCCCTTTTTTAAAGACAGGGTCTCGATGGATAGCCCTGGCTAGCATGCAACTCCCTATGTAGAGCGTTCATTGGCTGCTCCCTCTGCAGCCTCCTCAGTGCTAGGATTAGCCACGCATCACCATGTCCATTCCCCCATGCTATCCTGCACTGGCTGGTTTTCTGTCAACTTGACACAAGCTAGAGTCAACAGAGAGGAAGGAACCTCAGCTGAGAAAATGCCTCCATGAGATTCAGCTGTAAGGCATCTTCTCAGTTAGTGATCAGTGGAGGAGGGCCAGACCATGGGTGGTGCCATCTCTGGTCCTGGGTTCTAAAAGAAAGTGGGTTGAGCAAGCCATGTAGAAAAAGCCAGTGAGCAGCACTCCTCCATGGCCTCTGTACAGCTCCTGCCTCCAGGTGAATTCCTGTCCTATTTGAGTTCCTGTCCTGACTTCCTTTGGTGATGAACAGAAATGAGGAAGTGTAAGCTGAATGAACCCTTTCCTCCCTAGCTTGCTTTTTGGTCATGGTGTTTTGTCACAGCTCAGAAACCCTAACTAAGACAGTCTCCTTTTAACAAAAATATTGAAAAAAAGGTAGAAAGACTAAGCAAGTACTTTTCCATACTCACATTCCCTAAAGTCAGGAACGGCTTATAGCTCAACAACTGAAAAGGCACTGGAGAATACGTATAGACCAGTGCCATGCACAAGCTGACAGGAGAGACTTTTGAGCAACAAGAGAAGTGAGTTCTAATCAGTAAACGCCCCGTCTGCAGGAAAGCGGTGGTCTTTCCACCCATCCTCTGCTCAGTGTGGGCTGGCCTCACAAGTTACACACTCTCCCTCACCAGTGAGGACTAGGATCAAGGCAGATTCCAAGTCAAGCTTGGAGGCTTCTAGTTATTTCGTGATACAACACCATGACCAGCAGAAACTTGGAGGAGAAAAGAGTTTATTTCAGCTTGCGCCTCCCTTCTCTCTATCCATATGTATATCCATATCACAGTCCATCACTGAGGGAAGTCAAGGCAGGAACTCAAACAGGGCAGGATCCTGGAGGCAGGAGCTGTGCAGAGGCTGTGGAGGAGTGCTGCCCGCTGGCTTGCTCTCCATTGCTTTCTCAGTGGGCTTTGTCATTGCACTCAAGACACCAGCACAGGGATGGCACCGCCCAGGATGGGCTGGGCCCTCCCTCATCTATCACTAATCAAGAAAATGCCCTGCAGG